ACTTTGATCATCTGATTCAGATCTGCTAAACTGACCTTGAGAAAGCCTACGACCGGACACCGCGCAGCAAGCTATGGGCCTACCTGCGAACATATGGGATCGATGGCCAGTTGCTACGAGCCATCTAATCACTACATGCTGCGTCAAAGTAAGTGGAGCTAAGTCGAAGCCTTTCAGCGTTCGCACTGGTCTCCGCCAAAGCTGCGTCCTGTCCCCTATCCTCTTTGTGTTGTACATGGATAGAAAAGTCAGGAGCTGCCAAGGCGACGATGGTATAGGAGATGTTAAGTAGAGAAGGTTGCTGTTTGCAGACGACCTTGTTTTATTAGCATCTTCTGAAACTGATCTCCAGTGCTCCTTAGAAAGGTTCGCAACCGAGTGCGACGTGGCCGACATACGCGTGAACGCATCTAAAACGAAAAGCCTAGTGATTTCTCGTTCTACTGCCCGTTGCTCTCTTCAGATTAACGGACTGGCAGTGGAACTAATAATGAGGTTCACGTACTCCGGAGTCGTATTTGCTGGTGATGGGAAACGAGAAGAAAAGATCTTCCGGTGAATTGAAATGGCCAACGGCGCTTTCCATCAACTCTCTCAAACCTCTGTAACTGAAATAAAACTGAGTCTGGCCGTTAAGTTCTCCTTGATCAAGTCGACCCTCATACCCACGGTTACTTACAGTCATGAGGCGTAGGCCTCATTAAAAATTTTCGATTGCGGATACAAACGGCCAAAATCGCTTTTCTGAGACAAATTGCAGGCTTACGGGTCTCGACATGGTCCCGAGTACAAATAACCGAGAGAACTTTGATGTAATCCGCTACTTGTCCAAACTGAGAATGCACAACTCCGATAGTTTTGGCAGGTTTGGCAAACGCCTCCAGAAAGGAAGATAGAGCAGCTACTATTTGGCCAACGGACCAGCCAAAAGCCCAAGTAACGGCCAAGAATGACTTGGTGCAAGTGTCTCGATGCAATCTTCTCCAGATTCTAATTATCATTTGCCAGAGCTCAAACGCTGGCGCAAGATCAGCAACCTTGGAGACACTGTCTGACGCGTTTGCCTTCGCCCCCGGCAAGGATAGGCGGTCATCGAAGCTAATTGACTGAGCGACTTTCGTACACTTTATCCTTTAGGCGTTTCTGAACAGTGCGTTTCCGAAGATCTTTCTACAGATTGACTGAAGATTTATTTCCACGTAAGTTGCGCAGTCCGACAAGCCTCCTCTTTTGAAAACAGGCTGATTAATTTGTTAGCTGATGTACTGAAGAGACCACATTTTCTGAATTTCTCTAGCAAAAGTCTCTCCAGGAGGCACCAGAAGTCAGTCTGTTTTAGATTTGCCGAGAAAAAGATAGTCTTTCATTAGCCATGTATGAACAATATATTATGGGTAAAGGTATGGATCCCATATGTTCCAAGCGAAATTTTTGGACTAGCCTAAATGCAAATGTAGAGCGAATATCAAAGCCGTAGGTCATTTTACCATTGAAGAGATCTGTTCGGAGACTTGGGAAATTGATTTCAACTGGTGCTATCATTTAAACATGGAATTTTGATTTGATTTTAAGTGTGATACAAGAAGAAAGAATAAATGGATGAAGCATTTGAGAGGGCATCATGCCAATTAACTTTCGACAAAGAACTACACAAACGGTCATAAAATAGTCTCTGATTGAGTTCACTTGTTAAAAATTATAGCAACAGTTTAGAAATTATTAAACCTTCAAACAAGTATTTATATGGCACAATATATTGAGGTTGATCATCAGGTTTTTCATATCATTTCGTACAGTGCCATATTTACTGAAGATCGTGGGTCTAGCCGCACTTCGATTTTGCATGCACTTAGTAGCAAGTCGTTTCCATCTGCGCGTGTGTGAACCAACTTCGTACTTAGATCAATGAGTCCATATGTAGCATCTTTACTTCAGCTTGAAATTCAACAGTATTGCGAAGAAGTCAAGTTCTGATTCGAAATAATACGGAACACTGTCTTAGCGCTGATTGTAGTCATGCAAAACTAATCGCCGACGAGTCCATCGTTTTGTTAACGCTTATTGTGTGATCAAGTTTTGCTAGTAGTTGCATTTTCAGCTAAGCACCGAAGGCTAGAAGGTCGTAAATCAGGGCCATAGTGATGTTAATGTCGGATTGCTGCACTCGAGATTCATCATCTCGAACTTTCGAGGCAGACAATTTTTAATTAAAAAGCACGGTCGCGCAAGCTAATACGTCAGAGCAAAATTAAAACCGCAGTGGCTTCGGTTATCATTTACATTTGACAAGTGGCTAGAGAACGCCGAGCGATTGGCGAACTCTAGAATGAACTTGGTAACGGCAAGTTACGAAAACAATTGTTAAGTTGTCAGATGTTATGCTCACAGGAACGCGACAGGGAAATGCCTCCGCATTGGTGACTAATTATCTTTGGACACAAGTACCATGATCAATAATAGCCTGACGATCATTTGCAACGAAATTTGTATTCACCGCTCTTCTGAGATTAAAACAATTGGCATTTTAAGCTGTGGCGGAATTTCTTGCCCATTTATCATTTATTTTGTTTAAGTCGGATTGCAACTTCCAAACCATCTGGATAAAACGATTTATACGTAATTCGCAGTATTTCGGACTGATTTAAGCTATCTTCATTTTCTTGCCCGTCTGCTCATCATTTGCATGGCAGAAATAATGGATTAAAGTATTATTCAGATGCAATAGTTTTCTACAAATGAACGCCCGACCCTAAGAGTCTTCCATCACAAATGAGCATTCGTGCGCTCACTGCAAGAAGCACGCCGTCACTCGTAAAGTGGTCTTTTATCGGCTGAGCTATAGGTTTTCTGTAAGTTGTACGAGCTTCTAGCAAATGACGAAAGGAGCAATTAGGCATTCCCTACTAAGACCCTGATTCTAAGTCTATTTCAACCGACTGTCAAAATCGTGATTCATGCTTTCAAACAGATATGGAATTTCGTTTAAATAACTAAGAAACAACGGAATTTCATTGTAATATATTGTTCCATGCTATTATGAAATGACATATAAAGGAAATTATGAAAGGTTTTATAAGAATTTTATGAAACGCAAAGGAACACAGAGGCATCTATCAACAGCAGTTTTGACTTATGTTCCCTGATTCTTATTTAAGTAGCATGTAGGAATTCTAGTAAGCGAACTCAACATTTTGACGCTTTTATTGTACCATTTTTAGCAGGAGGAAGACAGCAGCGAGTAAGAAATTTATCTAATTACTAAAATAGTGAATTTACAAACCATTAATAATCATGAACACAGATAAAGTCAATGTTTAAATTATTAATGCACACTTTGCACGTCGTTCTACCAACCAATGTCATACTTTCTTGCAAATCCTGAGATAACTACAAAGCAAAGCTAAACTAAATAACACTGCAATTGTGAAACTGCTGAAATTCCAAAATGAACGTACACATGTTGAAAATTTCTATATTTTAAAAGTATTATTCTTCAGTGTTAGTCTTCAGCGACATGAATTAGCCATTATCTCACTGAAGGGCTTTATAAGTAAAATTGCAATTTTAGTACCACAACGGGCAGTCTTGGCTATTAACCGGCCACCTACACTAAGTTATCAGAAAGCCAAAAAAATAATAGTAATTTTTCATGAAGAAAAAACCATAAATGAGGGAAGTGCATTTTTCTCTCTTTTCGTAAATTCTGCAGTGCAT